CAGAACCGAAAGGTCCGGTTTCGAGCCCCGGTTGGGGTCACTCGTCTGTTTTCTCCAAGATTGCTAGATGAGTACCACACTGCGGGATAGAAACAGGAGACTAAACACTATGCTTGCCACTCAGCTGCAATCTGTGCTCTTAAAATAAGACATTCCTGAATGATGATATGGTCATGGACACTCCTGAGGATCAGAACCCCACTACGTACGTCAGGGAAAAAAAGCACCAGAAAAGGTCATCATGAAAGTGTAAGGAAGACCGACATTTGAAGGGTAACAAACTTTTTTCTTCGACTGTGGCAAATCTAATGTTCGTCGTCGAAAGCAGGCTTGTCCCAAAGAAGTATCTGCAATTCATATTCTAGCAAGTCAGTAGATAGCAGACTTCATCAGAAAAAAAGCTTCAAACATATTTCCGCTTTTTTACCACTTTATTTCTCCAAGTCAGGCTCAAGTCAACTTAACTGTACCTCAACGTTGTTTTACCTGGGTCCCAACACCACTACCTTAGATTATCATAGCATGATCAAGCTAAACAGAGAGCGAGTTCAGTCGTAAACGGTGCCCTTTTACTTGGCATAAATTTTTTGGCTAATACAGAAAACCCTCTCAGTATAGTTGTCGCATACAAAATCAAGTCATACAGCTCTAAAACGCTCTGAAGATACTTCGTAGCACTTCTGATCCACTGTATCTAAAATCCTAACAATAAAGTTCAAACTCTAGAAGAAAAATCGTTAAACTGAAACTAGTCGAACGAATCAGCTCTTAAAGCGCCTTCCGTGAAGCTGTATGGTATACTGCTGAATAATATACATTATACTAGCTAATGCAACGTTTTCATTCTCAATGAAACTCACGTTTTCTCCTTATACGTTCCAAACGGCATTAGTGATTTCAGAGAAAGGCTCATGACGTTTCAGATTTACTTCCCAACTTTGACGCCTTGAACAAAAGATAACAAAATTAAAAATAATGCAGCAATGGCACTAGGTTATTAAAAGACTCTAAGTGATCCAATTCATAAATCATTTAACGTTTTGAAAATGACTGGATCAAATTGCACACCATGACATTTGAAAGACCTGCACAAAGACCATGGACCGTAGCAATATATTGCATAAGCTTCTCGGAACTAGCTGGTGATCAATAGTTTTGCCGACTATTTATTCCAGGGCAGCCACACATCGAAATCTCGATGTCATCCTTAACAATATCATGAAAATCGTCCTACCATCGCTTCATAGATTTCCACTACCGTTGCTACCGCTACTGTCGAACACACATCCACACAGCCGCGAAAGTTGACGAGAGTATCACAAAACAAAGGACGAGCCTAAATTTTATTTCATCGGCCCCTACCTCACTCAAATTCAAATCGTGAAATCGATTCTGGCAAACCGTCTAAGATCTAACGGCGTGACGTTTCGGTATCAGTGATGAATAGGAAAAACTCCAGTAAAATTTCAACACGTCAACTAAATACCTAAATGACGATGTTAGAAATTAGCCTAGTCCTGATCTGACCTGACCCGGAAACAATTGGCGGTAATTTTAAACAGAATCCGTACGAACCACGTAATAAATGAACATATTCTATGCAAAAGCGATATACAAAGAGGATATAATCCTGAGGACACTTGGATCATACAGTCGATTACATTATCAACCAGTGCGAAGCGAAGGAATTTAAAAGAAAAATAACAGCGCAATGCGCACTGGAAGCCGGTTTGGCCACCTCACTTCTGCAATCAAATTCGGAATCAGAGATAATGTCACCATATGCAAGAATCACAGTACATCAGAAGGTAAACCATTTATTGCAAAAAGAAAATTTCACCTGAACTGTTCGTTCAGAATTCAAAAAACCAACAATGCTTTAAGGACAAAAATAATTAATAAATATCCACAAACACAACAGTGCACTTATTGTGCAAAAAAAATACTGGCGTCAAAAATTCAATTG